TGCTCAGCACTCCACATAGAACCCCCACTCACTAGCACCCCAACACACACAGATCTCCCACAGTGTCCTTCCCCACAGCCTCACCACCACAACTACACAGTGCCCTACACAGACCCCCCAAAACGCAAACATCCCTCAGAGACCTAGTCCCCCATGCCCTGCCCCAGCCGCACTCATTGGCCCTGCTGGGAGGTGACTGCATCTGCTAGGCTGAGCTGGCAGAACTGCCTGGGCTGGTCCTGGGGCGGGAAATCACTCCGGTTCAGCTCCTCGAGAGCAGCACAATCAGCCAGGCAGAGGAGGAGCAGGGCCTGCCTGAGCCGGGTTCCCTCAGGTCCTACTTGTCTGGAGGGGCCCAGCCATGCCCCCCCACACTGTACCCCCTCCCTCCTGGCCAAGACTGGGTCAGCTTCTACACCAGTCTCAGACGGCTTGGCTCCAGGGAGGCAGGCGGGGCCCCACAGGTGGTGGGCAACATAGAGTGCTGGGATCCTTTCTGGAACTGCACTGGGGTCTGGCCTGGGGTGGAGAGGAGTCCTTAGTTGGTGGGCTGAGAGGAGCAAGTGGTGGGAGAGGCCAGGGAGTAGAGAGGAGCCCTTGGGTGGCTGGTGAGCAGGCCAAGAGGAGCGAGCGGTGGGCGGGGTGAGGGGCGGAGAGGAGCCAGTGGGCAAGCATGCCTTTGGGGTACAAGCAGGCCAGGGCCCCTTCTGAGCATAGGCATGGCGCCACTGGCACCATTATAAACGCGGCACTGCTCTGGGAACCTCCCCTAGCTGCAGGAAGCTCTGCGGCTGCACTGCCTCCACACTTATTGAAGATGGTGTATCCGTGGAGCTGCTTCTTCTGTGGTGATGGTTGCTTTATTTATAAAAGGGCGTTTTTATTGCAAATAGAATTTAAGGATTATTTGTAACTTTTAAGTACATCAGGAAGTCAGTGACTCTGGTTACTCTTTACATCATAATATAGCAAAGAGATTGAGGAAATTTGCAGAGTCTAAATGATCTTTTCTCTTATCACAGAAATTTGTGGGAAAATATATATCATTAGGATAGTGACAGTGGATTGCTGTCAGAGGTAAAAAATTTGTGGAAATCTTCGACAGCAGTAAGTCACTAAGACTGGTGGCGTTAATCCAAGAATTTTGAAACAATTGAACAACAGCAGTAGCTGAGCTCTAATTTAAAAACAGATACCACTGTGACAGTGATATGAATGTCTAGGTAACTGTCAGGATTCAAGAAGGGTCAGAGTCATGGCATGGAAAAACTCATTTGCCCAGAGGGAGTACATATTTTGTCTCATGCTATACTGGAATAGGGGCTCTTGACTCCTTTGCTCTGTGTGTTAGGGGTGGGGAACAAGCGGTGGAGCAGTCCAAGTATTGCTGCTCCTTTAATATGAGGATAGGAAGCTGAGCAGTCTCTGAGCTGCTCACTACTTTTTTCAGGAGAGGTGGGAGAGAGTGGAGCGTCAAGAGCTACTGTCCTTTTGCAGAGCAAGAGAGAAGGAGTGGTGCTGATGCAGCATCTCCTTTGGAGAGGAGATGAGGGAAGACCAGGGAAGTGGAGTCCTTAATGCCTTTTTTGAAGGAGAGGGAGAGCAATGGTGTATGTGGGAGAAGTGTTGCTGGGAGGCTGAGGGCATCCTGCACCTCCCAGAGCCTTTCAAAGAGGCAGCAGGTCCCAATATTCATTTAATGGGTAGATTTATTTTATCTGAAGGCGGGGGAGTGGTCTCAAATTCATTAATGGTGATGTGAGTAAAATACCAGGTGTAATGAATTTAGGAGAGCCCAGAATTCATTTACTGTGGTGTGCGTGTGTGTGAGAGAATGAACTAGATGGGTGTTACGGTTGACTTTATAATATTGTACAGTAAGTGGTTTATGAGAGTCCTACCCCTTCTGAAGCATTACGTACAACCACTGCTAGAGGCAGGATGCAAGGATGTTTTATTCTAATACAGTTCCTGTATGAACAATGATTATTTATTAAAAGAAGTGTTATGTGCTGAGCCTGATTTTTCTGAGGTGCTGAGCACCAACAGCCCCCATTGATTTCAGTTGGAGTTTTGGGTGCTCGAGACTTCCTATAATCAAGGCCCACAAAATGTAAGAGAAGCTTATGTAAATCAAAACTGGTGTGAGCAAAGATTATATGGATACAGTACATGTTTTCCCTAAAAGTGTGACATGTCCTAAATGCAGAAGTTCAAAAACCAGTTTACTACAACTTCATCGATTTTTCTTGCTTTATAAGTTAGGAACATTACTTTACCTTGAAGAAGCTAAGTTGAAATGTCATCTTCTTTGAAATTGATTGGAGTTTTACTTATCTTTACAGAACAATACTTTATTAAATTATTTAAACACTGATGGTTAGCTCTGTCATGTCAAAGACAGAATCCTTAGTTTGCAGTTTTTAAGTGTCTAGTCTGGTGACCCCTTATGAGTTCTTTCCTTGTGTGATTAAAGGTTTGCAGCCTCAGACCCAAAAGGTCTCCTTTAGAATGTAAAATAGTAATCAGACTTGCAATGTGACTCTTTTTTCTGAAACAAGAAACCATAAGACTTCCTTTTTAAAAGTTGTTGGTCTACTAAATGGTTTATTCTTTTTTTTATTCCCCGATGACTGTTACCCATTCAAACTTTAAAAATTGCATGTAACATTTTACTATGTCCATTCATACTTTGTTTAGATTATGTGAGGAATGTTGTGAAAGGACTTTGTTTTTTTCTGCAGCCTTTTTTCAAAATATTTATGATTAATAAGCTTTTCTGTGAAGCTCATCACCATAGGACCTGAGAATATCTTCAACATTAACAAATGTATCCTTCTAAAGCAACCCTTTGTGATAGGGAATTGAGGCACAGAGATTAAATGATTTACCCAAGATTGTACCAGTAATCTTTGGCACATCTAAAATAGAACCCAGATCACCTGAGTCTCAGATTGGTGTATCTTAACCACAAGGCCATCCTTCCTGTCATCTTTATGCAAGCAATCACGCTAATTTTTGACCTATCAAGTGAGTTAGCTGTACATAATAGTTGAGTTGAGGGGAAACTGAATGTTGCCCACAATCTTAGTGAAACAGTAGTGCACTCGTCTTAGAAAAAGTTAGGCTAATAGCTACTTTTCTGCAGTTGAAAGTGTTTAGATACAAGGTTAGAATATACTACATTTATATAATTTATCTTTTTACCAGATACCTACTGTCCAAAGGTAGAGTTCAAGATGGGGTGGGTGGTACTATCAAATTCTAAGGGGCATTCCAGGAGAGAGAAGGCTTGGCAGGCACTGGGGATTCCTAGAACCTGCTTGGGGTCTTTGTCTTCCATAACAGTATCTGTGTAGTAAGTTTCTGACAGATCTGAAGCTCCAGTTTCCTCCAGCTGGTGGAAAGTAAAAAAAACTTCATCTCCTTTCCTCCTGCTACACAGCTTCCTGAGTATTGCTGGGAGGAGCAAGAGCTCTGTTACTCTACTCCTTCCCTCAGAACCTCCTGGCTGCTGCAAAGACATAGGGAAGAAAGATATGTCTGCTATTCCACCCATTCCCAGTCTCTATTTTTTGGGTCATTCTCCTCTGTGAATAAGTTCATGCTCGTTCTCCAATGTGAATAAGTTTGCTGTTGCTCGTAGGTATATGCAGTTGAACATCTGCAGAAATTGATGTCATTGGTTCCTATGCTCACTAGAGAGTTTCCTGCTTGAGTGTGGGTGAATGGATTTTTGGATCCCTGTATGTTGACATAACTAGAACAAAAAGTGTGAATAACCTATTTAAATCTAAAAATTTCAGTGAAACCTCTTTAGAATTCCCTAGCCTAAAATCTTGACCAGTAAAAAAGTACACCTCTACCTCTATATAACGTGGGTGCTCGGAAGCCAAAAAATCTTTCGCGGTTTCACCTATAACCCGGTTATATCGAACTTGCTTTGGCCTCAAACATTTCCGTTATTAATAGTAACTTCCCGCCCCCTGACTGACCCCTCAGAACCTCCGAACCATCCACCTCCCCCCCGCTCCCTGTCCCCTGACTGCCCCAACCCCTATCCACACCCCCGTCCCCTGACCGCTCCGCCCCCAAACCTCCGAACCATCCAACCCACCCCCCGGTCCAATGACTGCCCCCCGAGACCCTCTGCCCCTTATCCAACCCCTCGGTGCCAATTCAGCACCCTTAACATGCTGCTCAGAGCAACGTGTTGGAGCCAGATACGCTGATCCACAAGAGCACGCAGCCCAGTCCCCCAGAGTGCTGCTTTACCCCGTTATATTTGAATTCGTGTTATATTGGGGTAGAGGTATATACAAAACATATGTGAGAGAGGAGAAACAGTAATAATAATCTTGTAGAGTAAGCCTTTGTCTACACCAGGGGTGGGCAAACTTTTTGGCCCGAGGACCACATCGGGGTATGAAACTGTATGGAGGGCCGGGTAGGGAAGGCTGTGCACATGTCCCCAAACAGCCTCGCCCCCTATCTGACCCCTCCTACTTTCTGCTCCCTGACTGCCCCCTCAGAACCTCCCACCCATCCTATCCCCCGCCCGCTCCTTGTCCCCTGACTGCCCCCTCCTGGGACTCCTGCCCTTAACAGCCCCCCGGGACCCCACCCCCATCAAACCCTCCCCCCGAATCTCTGCCCCATCCAACCACTCCCTGTTCCCTGACTGCCCCCAGGAACCCCTTATCCTACCACCCGGCCCCCTTACCATGTCTGGGAGCCACGCCGCATGACCAGAGCCAGACACGCTGCCATGCCACCGTGCATGAGTGCGCAGCCCTGCCGCCCAGAGCGCTGGTGGCGTGGCTGCTGGGGAGCGGGGACAGCAGAGGAGGTACCAGTAGTTAACCTCCCCAGCCAGGAGCTCAGGGGCTGGGCAGGATCTTTGCTCAAGGTGTGAGAACTTTCCTCAGAAGCAAAACTTCTAGAGGTACCAAATAAAATTGTTTAACAGGAACACAGAAAAATTGACTAATTTTAAGGGTAGGCTCATATTTCTGTGTCACAATGGTCTTACATGGTTTATAAAATCTCCCTCTACACTACCTTAGAGGCCAAATAACTGTGTGTTTAGTTCTTACTTATTTATTTTTGAAAGTTTTTTATTTTTTGTTTCCTACACACTAGAAAATTCTTGTACCAAGACCTCAAATCGTGTTTTTGAACTATTTAGTTCAGATAAAGATTTTGCAGGTTTTTTTCCTTCAGAGGCTTTAAGTTCAACCTTCATTGTCTCAGTTTTTGCCTCTAGTTTTGTATAGGTAAATTTTTAATTTCCAGTGTATGAGGAGCCTATAGGATGGATTCCAAATAAATTTCATTTTTCCTCATAACCCTGGCAGAAGATACAGCAGAACTTATTTGTCAGCCCTACTTTTGAGTATCAGAGTTTGGGCGTTGATGTGTAAAGCTGTTGATGCTGAGTATCTCTTTCATACCTCCATCCCAGCTGACGTAGAAATCTGTGGCAAGAAATTGTCTGCCTCTTCTGAACTCCTTGGTTTTTAAAACAGAAAACAAATCTCAGTCTACAGAGTGCTGAATAAAATGACCCCAGAAAAAAACCCTACTGCTCTGAACCCCCCCAAAATATAGGTCACAGAGATATTACTAGCAAGACATGGGCAGGACTGTAGGAGGAGAAACTTCTTCCTATGCTACAGCGGGTAAGTTCAAAGTGGGGTGAAGGAATATTGCATTGTGTCTTCTTCAGCTTTGTGGCGAGCAGCAAAGGTCAAAATGAGACCTATGTAGATGAGGACACTGTTACAGTCTCTAAATGTGCTATTCCCCAGACTTCAGTAAAAGTTAAGGTGGTTGAAGACAAGGAAGGGAAGTCTTCAAAGGGATGGTCTAGATAATACTTAGTCCTGCCATGAGTGCAGGGGACTGGACTAGATGACATCTCGAGGTCCCTTCCAGTTCTACAATTCTATGATTCCTGACTCTGTATAGTCAGCTATATGGATATAGTTGGTTGGCAGCAGCAGACCAAAACTGTACATAAAATATCTATAAAAGTTAACCTCCCCATAAATTGTGACTTTTTCGATAATACTGTTCATTTAAGAGTTTGAACAAATTTCCGTTCCCAAAACTGTAGGGAAAAACTTCATGCCAGTTTGTAAGCTAAGGTAATAAAACTTTTTTAAAAAGATTGAAGTGGAAAGTCCAGAGTTCCAAGCAAATAGCTAAATTAATCAAGGAATTTTCAGTGTTGCCAACTCTCACCATTTTGTCATGAGTTCTTCAATATTTTGGTGTGCATTAAAGCCCCATCTGCTGGAATTGTGAGATTACGTGAGTCTCACCCTAATAGTTGCAGAGAAGAGCTGAAAAATGCAAAGCAAAAGTACCCTGAAAGCTCAAACCAGAAGACAAATAATAAATTTTATTCATTTTAAGCCAATTTCATGATTTTTAACACTTGAGGTTGGCAGTACTGCATTAGCTTCCATTCATGATTCAATCTTTATAGTTATCTCAATCTATTTTGATTTTAATTTAGAAATGAATTTTGCACAAAACATTATTCCCCAGAAACAGTACCCATGATGTATTTTGAAGCTTGATGCATGAAGAAATACCTCTTATGCTCACTAATAGAAAAAAAGCCAGCTGGTAAAAGCTGAAATAGCACAGAAATACACTTATTTACATCATAAAGTTATGGGCCATAAGGGACTTGGACATATTTTGTAGCTCTTGATGTTGATGTATAACTGTCTGTGTTACATATTGGTATTGTATGCATCCGATGAAGTGAGCTGTAGTTCACGAAAGCTTATGCTCAGATAAATTTGTTAGTCTCTAAGGTGCCACAAGTACTCCTTTTCTTTTTGAGAATACAGACTAACACGGCTGCTACTCTGAAACCTGTCATATTGGTATTAATGTATTTGTAGTGTGTAAATATATTTTTTCTTTCAGAGTTTGAATTTAGCTAAAATTGATCACTGTGTTCAAGTACACAGTGAATTGTTCTATTGTAGATGTATGAAATGTGGTTAAGGGGGGAAACTATTCTTTGTAAGAAGTATGCTATGTTCATATTTTGTTTTCCTTGTTTTGTGATTAGTACTTGATTTGAGGAATAATGGGGTTGGGAAGTTCAGATGTATAGCTGTAGGGGAGAGGTGGTTTTAGTGGGCTACATAGCTGCAAGGAAATGCCTGCTTCCATAAGGAGAGACTAAATAGCTTTGAGCCACTGTTTAGGTCTTCAACTCTGAAATTAGCTTTTAAAACGGCATCAGGTTATCCCTCTCAAATTGGTACTTTTGCTTGTCAGAGTCTAGAGCTCCTTAACCATCCTGAATGTCTGGCTGTCGGAACCCTCCAGACTCCCAAACAACTGGATAGCTCACCCTGTCTCCTTCGAAGGGGCTAAAATGAGCCCAGGATGAGCTGTGCCTGCCTCTTAAAGATATTAAGTATCAGAGGGGTAGCCATGTTAGTCTGTGTCCACAAAAACAATGAGGAGTCCAGTGGCACCTTAAAGACTAACAGATTTATTTGGGCATAAGCTTTCGTGGGTAAAAAACCCACTTTGGGTTTATGTCCAAATCTGTTAGTCTTTAAGGTGCCACTGGACTAGTCATTTATTTTAAAGATATTAGGATGTGACACCTTTTAAAAGCACCCCAGGTACATGCAGTAGTTTAACTTCTATCTCCCTTCCTTTTTTTTCATTTATCTACACTTGTCAGAACCAAAACCAGTGCACAAGTGATTTTTTTTTTTAAAATAGTCTATTGTGCCACAGTGGATCCTTCACTTGGGATAGAAACTACAGAGGATGGCCACAGATGTGGTAACTGCTTCATCTTTCCCTCTCATATGATAGGTTCACAGTTTAGTAAAGAGAAGAGATCCGGCATACATGACTCTTTCAAAATGCAAGTTTCAAACTTATGGTTAAGTTACTTGTCTCATGCTGCAACTGAAGAACTGAGTCATGTTCTGTTTTTATAATAGTTTTTCCAACCTTTTTATGTGTAAATGATTCTGTTTGGTATAACTTAAGATGTTTGGAACAAGAATCTAGATCCTCTCCTTTTGCATTTCATTGTGGCATTTGAAGTAGGCTGGAACACCCTTTCTGTCTGGTCACAGGATTTAACTCTTAGACCTTGTCTACATAGGAAAGTTTCACCTGTATAACCTAACATGAATTTAAATTGGTTTAACTAAATCAGTGCCTACTTGTATGGATGGCACTCTTACTTGGGTTTAAAAATGGCTTTTTCTCATTTTTTGCTTAAACCTGTTTCCAATCAAATTAAGTCATACGAGGAAAAAAAGCCAAAGTTGATCAGGAATAGGTTTTGAGCTTTTTTTTTAAAAAAAGAGAGAAAGGAAAAGCCATTTTAAAACCTAAATGAAAGCGTCATCCATACAGGAGTTGGCATACATTAGGTAAAGATTAAAGTGGTGTAACTTTCTCATATAATCAAGGCTTTAGATGAAAGTGAATGCATTATTTAATTTTAGTTGAGATATTGAAGGAATGAAAGATGCATAGAATATTTTTTTGGGAACCTCTTCACTTCCTCCCCGTCCTCCCCCCTTGAAATTGTAAATGGATTCTCTTTTCCCATAACCGGGCAAGTAATGCTAAAATAGAATTTGAATAACTGTTTCAGAAGTGAATGAAACAGGAATACATTTAAAATCACAATTTTTCTTTCTAGAGTTTCATCAATACATGTAAAATAAATTAGTACCGTAAGGAAGCTTCAGTTAAAACTTCCTTTTAGCATAATGCCAGCTTTATCCAGGGAATTTCTGTTAGGAAACAGATTCCTTATTTTTCAGCAAGAAGGTTGCCTGCACTTCAGGCTAACAATTGACAGTATTGTACAGATTCTTCTTATATAAACACAACCTTTATTTTCCAGAACACTCTGCCAGTGCTATGCTAGTTCTGGAACATAGTGTAACATCTTACTCTGAAACCTGTCATTAAAGCATCATCCGTGTTAGTCTGTATTCGCAAAAAGAAAAGGAGTACTCGTGGCACCTTAGAGACTAACAAAAATTTATTTGAACGTAAGCTTTCGTGAAAGCTTATGCTCAAATAAATTTTTGTTAGTCTCTAAGGTGCCACAAGTACTCCTTTTCATTTTGCTTTAAGGGATTTTGCTGCTTTATTTTTGTAGAGATGATACTGAAGTATTTTGTGCAAACCACTGAAGATTCTTTATCCTTAAGTTTGTTAATTTTTCTAATGTTAAGTGACCTTTTGAAAAGGATGTGATGCTGCTTGAGTAAACATTTATCATTCTAGAAGACAGATGAGAAGCAATCAGAAGGCTTAATAATAAATGATAGCTGAAATAGTTACAGCATCTATGTATTCTTAGTAATATATTTGCATAAACAAAAGGGGGATTAAAATAAGTAGGAAAAAATTACTTGTCAAAACAAAAACCTAATGTCTGATTTAGGAAAATCTTTTGATGGATTTAAACTTGAAAATAATTGACCAAAAAGGTGTTGGTTTTATGTTGTAACCCATAACAAAATCAGTGTTGGTACTTAGGGCAATATATTTGGGTAATCAATAACGTAAAAAGACAAATGTTTATATCCCCTTGTTTCAGTATGAGATGGTACAGCTGTATACTAAAATTCCCAGCTGCATAATTATGCAAACGGCATAATGCCTCACTTTAACAGCAGTACCATAGAAGTGGGGGTGCGGGGGGATGGGGGATGATGATGTAGAAGACTACTTGTATTACACATCCAATTCTTTTTTTATAAATGACTGTTATATAGTAGTACATTGCTTTCAGTGAAATGCATGTAGCTGGTACTGCTGGGCTATGTTATAGTTGCCCTTTGACTAAACAAGAATGTCACTATTCTTCAAAATTAAATTGTCATATCAGAAATTGCATACATTCAAGTGAACAGTCACTTCATTGACATGAAACACTTCTGTTTGTTCTAAGATTGTGTACAATACACTAAAAATGTAGAAACTGACTTCCAGTTTTAAATAGCATACCTGTTTGCACGTTTACTTTGCACTCATACTATAGTGCATGCTCATGCATACATGGTTAAATAGCTGCTTGGCTAGCCGTGTGTGCATGCCAGCCCCAGACTTGCTTGATTATAGTTCTCCATTCAAAATATTTTCTCAGTACTATAAAACAAAAGGTCAGTAAACCAGTTTAGTAAATATCACAGGATTGGTTACATTTTTGTGTGTTAAAAAACAACTACCACCCCAAACCTAATTTGTTACTGTTGAAAATCAGTTCAAACCAAAATGGCTTTTGTCATAATAATTTAAGTGTCACTTCAGATGCAGCGCTCTATTGGAGTCACTTCCATATCTATCTGAATGTTCTAGTATGCAAGTAGTTAAATATTATGTGGCTTGTAATTGTGGTTTTGCTCAGAAAAGTGACTGAATAGCACCACCTTTATCAACATCTGCTCTGTTTTCAGAGTGGTATCTGTTTGTTAACATTCTTTGCTACCTTTCTACTAAACTGCAGAATCACTTGCTCTGTGAGTGAGCTGGGTTGTCTTGCTGTAACCAACACTACTGTTAAATTCCACTGGAGAAACATTATTGCATATGGTGATGAGCAAACAAGAAAGAAGACTGCTTGAATTTTAGATCACGAGTTGAGTTTTCAGGGATGGCAGGAGGGGGAAAAAAACTTTTTTACTTAAAAACTGAACTGTTTTGATCTCGAAATGAAGGTGAAAGACACATGATGCTAAAATGTCAGTTTTTAAAGGCACCTCTCAGAGTACAAAAAGTTAATACCTTTTATACAGGACTTTATGTAAGACTCTAATATTGAAATTGTTTACCATTTTCTAGTATTCTTTCCCGAATCAAATATAAATAGGCAAATAGATTAGAAATAGAGCCTTCTTTAGACATTAATTTCTAGGACTTCTCTTATGTATGTACTTGGTTTAGATAACAAATTTCATTTTAAAAGTAACCTCAATATTCCTCCTCTTGTGCATAAAATATTTGTTGATATTAATTTTTCTTCTATTAAATATATTTTCACTATGCATGTGACAAAGATTAGCTCTGATTTTGTTTTATCACTTTTCTATAATTTGTATATATAAAAATAGTATAATTCTGTCTGCCTAATGTTTCAGACTGCTGTTAGTCACTTTTTATGCCATGTTTAATCTGTCTTCCATGGAAGATCCTTTCCCAGACCAAAGTCCAGACCAGGAAACTATTGCAGTATTCCTCTAAAAGTGGATCAGACCAGAAGGTTATCTGTGCATAGACTATCTTGTATTTTGCAAGTTGCATAAATAGTTGCGCATATATATATATATATAAAAAAATCAGGAATCCTGCAAAATCATATTCTGCTTATATCTGTTGAGTTCTAACTGTCTAGCTGAAAGGCCTCTTGACAGTTCCTTAGTCACCAGAGTATCTGTCTGGTGTGCTGATGAAAAGCATATTGAAGATTCAGACACACATTTAATACCTAAGTCCTAAGGAGAAGCAGGTTTTAGTCTCTTGGTGGGGATCTGGTTCAAATTACTATCTTAGTATGTTGGAAACAAATTACATAACCAAAGCCTTTTCAGCATGATTAGAATTTTTTAAAATATAATTCAAGATTTTGTACCCTTAAATAGAATGAAGCAGGTTTTTTTGGGGGAAAAAATCATTATTTAGTGACTTACCGGAGTCTCTGCGAATCTGTTCCAAACTCTAGTGGGGTAGTGTGGTGGTAAAAATGTACCAATATGGTATATGCTGGAGTTGTGTTAGCGGGAAGCAACGCAATGAAGGGCTGGATGTTGTGGGACCTGAAAAATAAGTAAAGTTAGTCTTGTCCTGTGTGTTCCTCCTCTGAGTACATATTAAATGTAGTAAACATTTTGTGCAGAATACCACCTTCCTGCTCTTCCTTAAAATATTTTCTACATACATCTGCATAAGAAATGGATATTAATTTTAAATATGTTCTGCTAATATCCTTCCTCTTAAGAGGCGTTGGTTAATTGTTTCCTGTTTTTGTACCAGAGCTATAATGGAGGCACATTATTTTAAAACACTTCCAAAATGTACAGAAGTGCAACAATAGCTGTGACCTGAGAGAGCAAGGTCACACCCAGGCCCATTTCCTGTTTTGTTCTTGGGGAAACTAAAGGTTTCACTAAATACTGGATAAAACTAAGGAACCATCTATTCTGCAAATGTTGGCGGGGGTGGGTGGGGTGGGGGATGGAAGAAGTTATGTAAAGTAAATACTATTTGATAGTTTAGATCTACAGTGTTAACAAATCACACAATTTAGGATTTGAAGTTTTCCTTCTAAACTTTGTTTTTATATCTGTTAATTCTTTTCAGAGTATGTACAGTGCTTGAATAGGCTCTGGGTTTTCTTTATTTGTGGATAAATATGGCAGGAATGTCCAATAATGTAGAACTACACCTCTCAAAACTACTTGGTTGTGCAGTGTAAGCTCTATTTGCAGATCTTTTATTAAAAAAAAAAAAGAGAGAGAGAGAGAAAAGAGACTCAAACTTGCAATACAAGTAAAATTAGAAATGCAAAAAGTACCCCGACACTAACCCTTTTCAGTACCTTGGGAGTGGCAGTCTTCTTTTCCAAAAATCTCTTGGCAGTGGAAGTATATCAATGCAGTGTAACTCAAGTTGGCATAACTTTATTTTAGCAGAGAGCTGTTGCAGGACTGGAGAAAACTGTTTTAAAAAACTCAAAATAATGATTACTTTGTAGTACGAATTTGTATAGCTACTCTAGATCATCGGGATATTTACTTTAAACAAGTCCTAACCAAGCCAGAGATTTTGGTTTCTGTAGGCTTTGGTAATTCAGTTGTCATACATAACTTGCTTCCCAAGTAAAATCAGGAAAGTTCAATAAGACTTAATTTTTTTAAGGATTTGTTGAACTTGATACCCTTTTTGATCTATTTTTTTAGAATGTTAAATCCAATGAGACTGAAAGAGGATCAAAATATAAACCAAATATAAATATGGATTCCTGAGTTGCAAGTAAATGATCTTTCAGTATTTGTGATTTTAAGGAGTCAAAACTGACTGTGCTAACGGTGCTTAGGTCATGCATAGTTTCACTAAGCTAGGAAGTATTTCACCATTGTGCTGCAGCACATCCTGAATATGTAAACAACACCACTATTCATTCTGAGTTGCTGCTTTGCAGTAGTAACTTTCCTTTCCTTCTAATCCCTTCTCAGAGAACAGAAACATATTTGCCTTGTCCAATTTAAATAAAAGTTTATTAAAGATGAGCATGTAAACTACCACTTCACTATAACATTAGTCTTATCAAAATTAAACTGTAATGAAATGTATAATGTGGGAGTGTTTCAGAATGATATTTTAATGTACAATGAACGTGTTTGCACAAACAAGGCGTGGCTCAGTCCTCCATATGTTTAAACACAATATTACTTATGTGAGAAGCCTCAGTAGCTTAACTGGAACAACTTAAGTGAGTAAAATTACACATGCACATGTGTCTGCAGGATTGGAGCCTGAATTTGTATAAGTGAATCATCAATCCTGTTAATGTTGAAAAGTATTAATCATAGTATCTATTAGGGCTGTTAAACAATTTAAAAAAAGTGAGAGCTTAAAAATAATTAATTGCAGTTTTAATTGCACTGAACAACAATAATAGAATACCATTTATTTAAATATTTTTGGATGTTCTCTACATTTTCAAATATATTGATTTGAATTACAGCACAGAATTCAAAGTGTACAGTGCTCACTTTCTGTTTTATTACAAATATTTGCAGTGTAAAAAAGATAAACAAAAGAAATAGTATTTTCAATTCACCTCATACAAGTACTGTAGTGCAATCTCTTTATTGTGAAATGCAACTAACAAATGTAGAATTTTTTTACCTAACTGTGCTCAAAAACAAAGCAATGTAAATCTTTAAAGCCTACAAGTTCACTCAGTCCTACTTCTCCAATCACAAAGACTAACAAGTTTGTTTACATTTACAGGAGATACCGCTTCTTATTTACAATGTCACCTGAAAATGAGAACAGGCATTTGCATGGCACTGTTGTAGTTGATGTCGCAAGATATTTACATGCCAGATATGCTAAACATTTATGTGCTCCTTTATGCTTCAGCCATCATTCCAGAGGACATGCTTCTGTGCTGATTATCGAGCAGAACCTGTCATGATCCAAAGCAGTGTGGACTGACACACTTTCATTTTCATCATCTGGTTCAGATGCCACCAACAGAAGGTTGATTTTCTTTTTTGATGGTTCTGGTTATGTAGTTTCCAAATCGGAGTATTGCTCTTTTAAGACTTCTGACAACATGTTTCACACCTTGGAAGGCACTTCAGATTCTTAAACCTTAGGTCGAGTGCTATAGCTATCTTTAGAAATCTCACATTGGTTCTTAAACCGAACAACATTTGCTGGATCGTCATTTGAGACTGCCGTATCACAAAGTATATGGCAGAATGTGGCCATATACAGAGCAAGAGACATACAATTCTGTCCCAAGGAGTTCACTCATAAATTTTATTAACGCATTATTTTTTTCAACGAGTGTCATCAGCATGGAAACGTCCTCTGGAATGGTGGCCGAAGCATGAAGGGGCATACGAATGTTTAGCATATCTGGCATGTAAATATCTTGTAACTCTGGCTACAAAAATACCATGCGAACTCCTGTTCTCACTTTCAGGTGATCTTGTAAATAAGAAGCGGGCAGCAGCATCTCCTGTAAATGTGAACAGACTTGTCTTAGCGATTGGCTGAACAAGAAGTAGGACTGAGTGGACTTGTAAGCTCTACAGTTTTGCATTGTTTTGTTTTTGACTGCTGTTATATAACAAAAATCTACATTTGTAAGTTGCGTTTTCATGATAAAGAGATTGCACTATAGTACTTGTATGAGATTAATTGAAAAATACTATTTTTTTCTTTTTTACCATGCAAATATTTGTAATAAAAATAATAGAAAGTGATTACTGTACACTTTATATTCTGTTGTAATTAAAATCATATATTTGAAAATGTAAAAAAAAATCCAAAAATATTTATAATACATTTCAATTGGCATACTATTACTGTTCTACAGTGTGATCAAAACTGTGGTTAATTGCGATTAACTTTTAAAATCAAGTTAATTTGTTTTGAGTTAATCACTTGAGTTAACTGTGATTAATTGACAGCCCTACTGTCTATTAACTTGCTAAGAGGTATAAAAGTGACATTGATACCTATTTTCCTAGATTGTGTGGGGTTGGCCCTGGTAGGGATATAGAAAACCTCAGTTTATGGAGGCATCTTTGTATTTAAAAAAACGAAACAAAACAAAACAAAAACCCCCCAAAATCAGTCATTCTAAGCTTTGTCTCTTTGAACATGTGGAGTACTTCTGGACAAACACTGTTTTTGAATTCCAGGAGCTGGCCCTGATTTAGAATCTGATTTTACTGCATGAGTAGTGTGTGGGTTTTGTTTTTGTTTTGTTTGTTTGTTTTGTTTTTTTGGCAAATAGGTTCAAGTACCTCTATCAGAATGCTGCTTCTTTTGTACCTCATTAGCCTCTGCATACTTAGTGCAAGACTAACAAAACAGAGAATATCAAAATGTTTCACTTTTTTCTGGAGGGGAGGGAATGAGTAATGTTTAAATCATTAGTCTTACTTATATTTCTCTAGTATTTTTACTAAGGGAAAACTTCTTGAGATTATTTTAAAACTGCTGCAATCCAGTTCCTATTTCTCTGCCCCTTCTCTCTCACCTCCCCCGCCTCCCCGAACCCAGCTGGGGGGCCAGATACTCACATTCCCTACCCACTAGAGCCTAGTTGCAGGGTGCCCTCGTCCCAGATACTCGAACCCCCTCCCCCCCCACCCGCCTCCAAAAAAACCAACCCTCAAGGATCCAAAGAGAGAAACAGCCTGATGCTGGTTCCTGGGCTTGTTGAGTTTCCTGCATGCCGTCTCCTTTCTTCAGGGTGTGCTGGGAACTGCAGCTGCCCGGAACCCTCCAGCTCCCTTCCCTGGGCAGTGTCTTCTGCCAGGTCCAGTGCCCCCTAGTGGTGGGCAACAGCTCTGCAGCCTGCTTCTGTGGTGGGGGCAAAGGAAATTCTGCACAGAACATTTAATTTCTGTGCAAATTCTGCATTGTGTAGTGGCACAGAATTCCCTCAACAGTAAAAGTTTACATTGGTTTAACCAAGTTTTAAAACAGATTTAAGTTAAACCAGTATAACTTTCTCTTATAGGCATCCCACTATAGAGCTTTAATGAAGATGCTCTAAGCTGATGGGAGAGAGCTCTCCTGTTGGTGTAGTTAATCTACCTCCCTGGGAGGTGGTAGCTATGTCAGCAGGAGAAACTCTTGCCAACATAGCACTGTCTAAACATGTGGTTAGGTAGGTATAACTGCATGGCTTGGCATGGGGATTTTTCACATCCCTGAGCGATAGTTAGACCAGTATAGGTCTGTAGTGTAGACCAGACCTTTAATTACTGATATCTAGCTTAATGGTCTACCTGACTTCAGATATGAGGTATAGAGCATGCTCTCAACCTCCTCATACTTCTGTGTAACAATAGTATACTTGTGGAGTTCAGACATTATTATAGCAGTCTTTCTCAGAATAGCATCCTGACTTTTACCTACACAGAAAAGGTGTCTGCTGCTAGCTACTTGTCTGACAAAAATGTGCCTAAAGTTCAATAAATCGTTCAGCCCGTCATAGAGTATAATTTATTATATTGATACTATTTACAGTGAACTACTGATGTGCATGATACATCATAGAACAAAAACTGATTCCCTGTCCAGAAGAACTTGCATCCAGTTACAGGGACACCATCAACTTAAATAGAGCTTCTCTGAAATGTTTTAACCTCCTCTTAAAAGTAAGCACATAAGATTACTATAACTGAAACATTAGTCAAATATCTTTTTTAGTTTGTGCATTTGACAGTATTTTGTATCTATGAAGCTATTTTCCCTTTTCTGTGTGTTCAGGATTCTGGGACGGGGAGGGAAAACATTTTTAAAATAAGAATTTGTTAGTAAAACCATC